TTTGTTTCTGATATGAGTGAGACATGATCTTTTTGTTACCTGCTCCCCATTCTTGGTATCTATTCCATTGTTGTGTAAGTGATCAATATTTATTAATATTACTTATTTATATTGAGTTGATTTAATAGTTTAGTAACAATGATCATGCAGAAGTATAGAAAAGATGTTCTTGTATTAAAAAATAAACAGTACTTCTTAGTGAGATAAGAAATATTAGCATTCTAGTCAACTAGATCAAAAAGGTCATGGAGAGAGTGAATGTCCATTTTAGATTTTCCCTTGCCGTTTTGTATACATTTATTTCGGCTGTAATTCTCTCAATAGCCTGTAAGGGAAGTAGCATTCTCATTTTAGAACTGGGGATATTAAAGTATTTACGTAAAAGTTCAAGTTATTGTTGTAATTGTAGGGCTAGGTTTTGATTTAAACCTTCTACTTTGATCTCCTGCTGCTTCTCCTTTGCTTGTCAGAATTAAGTTCCCACAGTCCTTTTTGTGCCTTGAATAAGGCAAACTGTTTCCTACTTGGAACCTTTGTTGTTGCTCCAGCCTGTTCTCTAATACCTGGGAAGCCTTATGCTAGAGCCACTTGTGGATGATTCCTCTCATCTCAGGTCTTGGCTCAAATTTCTTCTTACAGTTTAGTTTTGAAAGGCACCCTGTCTACCTTAACTACTCTACCAAGTTCTCTCTGCTTTTACACAGCATCCTGTTTGTATCCTTCATACCACTAATCATATCTTACATTATCTTGTTTATTTGTTGTCATATTTATTGTCTACTTTTCCTCAGTAAGGTCGAAGGTCCAAATATGAGTTCTTGATTACTGTGTATCTTTACAACCTAAAACAGTGATTGGAACATTGTGAGTACTCGGTATGCATTTATTGAGAAGAAGAAAGAGATAAAGGATGAGGAAGAGCTAAAGGGAGAGAGAATAAGAGTGAGTAATGAGAATCTAGGTACAAGTTTCCAACTTCTTTCTCACTGGTGATTGACTCCTATTGGAGTTATGTAATTACAACCTGTCCTTTTTGAATTTCCATATATAGGAATCCAATATGCCATACTCCTTTTAACTCAAATCTGCAAGACTCCAAAATTAAAGTCTGAGTAATTAGAGTAAAAAACATGGGTTGCCCAATTAATAATGCTAAATATTCACCTTGAAATAATTGAGGTAGTCACTAGGAACCCATAAATTGGGGAATGAAACAATAAATTTCATAAAATACTTTTCCAGATACAGATAGAATTGTAGAACATCTGTCTGTAGGCTTACATGCCAGAAAGTAATCAACCAGGACACAAGAGGTGATAACATTATGTTGTTTGATGACTTCCCTGAGGTAGTCTGTGTGTGTGTATGTGTATGTGTGTGTACACATGTGTAAATATATATGCATGTATATATGTGTGTACACATATACAATAAATTTCATCATAAAAGGAATATTAGAATTATAACCTTGCTGCTACAAACCTTACCAGTGTGATAAGTATTGAGGGAAATCTACTTAGGATAAAGAATAAGATGTGATTATCTATTT